TTTACAGTGACTTTGATATGTACATTGTACGTTAACTACAATGTACGTTTACAGTGACTTTGATATGTACAATGTACGTTTACAGTGACTTTGATATGTACATTGAACGTTAACTACAATGTACGTTTACAGTAACTTTGATATGTACAATGTACATTTGAACTGAACTGTGTCTCTGTATTCTCAGGTCCTGGCCAGACGGAGGGAAGAATCAGGCAAAGTCAAAGTGCTACTTCATTGGTCACCAGAAGATATGTAAGTCTGAATATAACAATGGAGCTCTTTAAGATGCATTTGTTTATAATTGGGTTGGTAACATTTGAATAAACTGTGACAATAATAATAAGGAGAGGTTGAAATTGAAAATTTTGTCTATTTAAGTAAATTATGTGATCGACAAAAAAAAGAACTCTAAAAAGTGTGTTGAGGAAGATGACATAAGGGAGACTACTCCATCATATCTACATGTGCTTGACATGTGGAGTGTTGGACTAAGCAATGCAATATCCAAGGCTCCTCATGTTTTCAATTGTAGAAGAGGAAGTTTGTGGGGGTAACCCATTGAAATCATTTTACGCCAGCAAGAATTTTGAACATATTAATTTTGTCCAGATTTATTGCCATTCCATTTCATACTGACTATCACACCTCCACTATGCTTGTACACTAATGTGATAAATTTTAGCAGGAACACCAACACATTTAACTACACACTAGCATACCTATGGTATCATCTCCACAGGTTCTAGTTCACCTGTAGGTCAAAGGTCAATTGAGTGTAATTTTGCAGTAATGTTTTTACATGCTTCTATTTTTAGATTGTGAAGGTTTTTGTTTTGTTATGTGTTTACAGTATACCAGACAAATGGGTGCCAGAATCGGAGGTGCCAGAGCTACACACGTGTACCATTCCTGTTCGCCAACTACCTCAGGACACTGCCCTTGGTCTCCATCCCTCCCTGTACCGCCGCCACAGGTACCGCAAACACCGCAGGAAATGACCACCGGCGAGCTAGGCAGGCCAACTCACCAAAAGTACTTTCATGTGCAAAGACCAAAAGCAAAGACTACAGAAGACTTATTTTACACCACTGCGAGACAAATACTATTTTTATCATGAGCCTAATCAATGTTGACCTTACCCTCACGCCACCTGCTTTTAGTGCTGTCCTCCAAATGTTGGCAGTATGGGGAGGGGACTTAACAGCTACCAACTGTTGGCAGTATTGGGTGGGAACTTTACAGCTACCAACTGTTGGCAGTATGGGGAGGGGACTTTACAGCTACCAACTGTTGGCAGTATGGGGAGGGAACTTTACAGCTACCAACTGTTGGTAGTATGGGGAGGGAACTTAACAGCTACCAACTGTTGGCAGTATTGGTTGGGAACTTAACAGCTACGAACTATTGGCAGTATGGGGAGGGAATTTAACAGCTACCAACTGTTGGCAGTATTGGGTGGGAACTTTACAGCTACCAACTGTTGGCAGTATTGGCTGGGAACTTTACAGCTACCAACTGTTGGCATTATTGGGAGGGAACTTTACAGCTACCAACTGTTGGCATTATTGGGAGGGAACTTAACAGCTACCAACTGTTGGCAGTATTTGGTGGGAACTTTACAGCTACCAACTGTTGGCAGTATTGGGTGGGAACTTTACAGCTACCAACTGTTGGCATTATTGGGAGGGAACTTTACAGCTACCAACTGTTGGCATTATTGGGAGGGAACTTTACAGCTACCAACTGTTGGCAGGAGGGGGAGGGGATCACCAACTGCTAGAAATAGGAGAAAGGACAACAATCTTTGGCAATACAGGGAAGAACATACTGGCTGTTGACTGCAAACTGTTTCTAGAAAGAAGAGGAGATTAACTGCTGGCAAGGGAGGGAGGGACCTACCAACTGTTGGCAGTATAGGAAAGGGGTCATCAGCTCTTGACAATATAGGGAGGGGCATATCTACTGTTGGCAATATAGGGAGGGGACTACCAACTGTTGGTAGTATAGGGAAGGGACTACCAACTTTTGGCAGTATAGGAAAGGGACTACCAACTTTTGGCAGTATAGAGAGTGGACTACCTTTTAGCAGCAGGGGTGAGGGAGCGGGCGGATTGTTTTTTTATTGGGAATTATTTAAAAGGACAATACATAGATTGGATTCCTATTAACCTCAGGGTTTTAATATTAAAAGAGAAAATATGAAATGCAAATAGATTTTTGTATATTGTTTTATCATGAAATGATTGATACCATTCATCATCATAGTCATTTTCATCATCATTTAAAACTTATCTGCTGCAATAAGAACAAAAATGGCCCAGATTTTGCAAGTTGTCACATCAGATGAGAATGCAAGATTGTGAGACTGGGAAAAAGGCTGATATAAAACACGATATGTATAGAACTATACATTTAAAGCTGTTTACGGAGTTACAGCAACCATGAACAAATGATGTGAATATAGATTTACTATATGAATTATGTTATAATATGAATTGCATGTGTTTAAAGACTGAATCATGAGTATGGTATAGACACATATGTACTATGTACAAACCATGAAAAACAAGAAAACAGTCAACTTGTATTGAGTTTGTCACAAGTGAGTGTACGGTGGATTGGAATCTGCAGTGAGAGGACTTTACCTGTACAAATAAATGGAACGTGAAGAAGGATTCAATAGTATTGTTGATGAAACTAGATATATACAGAGTTATGCTTTGTTGGAAGCCTAGATTTCTAGTGTACGGTGCGGTGTCTGTTTAAGGACTGCCCCACAGGGTCATGACCAGGGCGAGCTCTATAGTACTACTGCTCCACATTACATGGGGGAGGTACTGAGTAGCACTTGTTGTACATACTGTATTGTAATGATCGGACAAACCCAGATTTACACAAAAAATTGTTACATGTTTTAAGTAACCTTTTACAAAAATATCAAATAAAGAGTTTTAACTGCTATTACAAAAAGATGCGGACTATTGATATCAAACTTGTTTGACCTTCAAATTTGAAGATGTCCGATCGTGACAGCAGAGGAACCAAGTTTGTCTAAGTGATTTGTAGTATAATGTTTGCTTTGGAAGTGTACAAATGTGTCGTTGATTTTGTACAGATACCCGTGCTGACGTGTGGAGGTCTCGGTCCTACTGGTTAACTGTAATAAACATGGTGTCGATCCACTTGTCTGGATCTATTCTGACTAATAGAGGAGGGGATCAAACACTAGTTCTATTCTGACTAATAGAGGAGGGGATCAAACACTAGTTCTATTCTGACTAATAGAGGAGGGGATCAAACACCACAGTATGGGGTTGAATTAGGATTTTTTTGTTAGCAAAATAAAAATATTTATGATTCATAATTCTACTGATATTATGAATATGTGATGACTGAAGTATTGTTGCATGGTTTAAAGGATTGTAATATTAAATGTTACCCGTAGCCTGGGGTTGATTAATTAATTTACATTTATTCATCTGTAAATGGGCTAATGATATTTTGTTGATTTGTTCTCTCCTTTGTTGTTACTGTAGCTTTTTATGTTCATGGTTATTGTAGATATGTACGTTATTTTTAAATATTCTCTTGTTTGTGAACCAATACTGGAAGGAAATAGATTCAAACCCTGTTATTCTGATCCCTAATATGTACTTATGTAATTTTAAATTACACTTTTAATGTTCAGAATTAAAAACTAGAATATCCATCATTATTTAACCACCTAAATGTTGTTTTACAAGTTTTTGATGACAGAATCGTTTTTGATGACAGAATCTTAAGAAAAGTGATATTTTTTAGAGGATTGTTTTATGAGTCTGTAATAATGTTTTGGTAAAACCCTTTATCAAAGTAAAGGGACAATTTCTGGTGAAGCTAGGATCCATGAGCTTGAGCTGGTAAATAATTACTGCCCACATGAAAGGCTAAAAATATGTTTGACTTTCAGGACAAAATACAGATCAGTGATGACTAGGTAGGGGTAGATGAGACATGTGTTAGAACTATTGCCTTCCTCCATGGTTCACAATCCTCCTCAGGACCAACCCAAACCTAGGCTGTATATTTTACCTATTTTCTGTTGATATAATCTGTATATTTAAGAGGTAGTTTCACTTAATTTTGTACATAATTATTTCTACTTTTGTTGTTTAGTCAATATGTTTGCCCTACTATGGTAGCGTCTACGCCTGCCGTTCTACACAATAACAAACACCTGAATCAGTACATTGTTTTATGAGGACCGGCTCTGTAACTATAATGCTACCGTAATTGATGTAGCTACATATTTGCTCAGCAGTAGCTGGTGTTCCTACATACTCGAGTGTTACTAGGCTTGATTTACATGGTTACTCTTACTTGTAGGTGGTCATTGATCAAATGTCAGATCATTTACAACACAATATTTTGTATATTTTGACAAAATTGTTTCATTTTAAAAGATTTTTGTACAGTTGAAGGCCAGTGTTTGTTATTTTACGATCTCAAGTGTACGCAGTGTTTCTTTGAAACAACATTGACCAAAGTGGGATTTTCTGGACTGAATTTTACATCTTCATAATGTAAACAAGTGCAGCTAAACTGTCTCCTTGGCTCAATGAGATAAAAACCAGTGGTGATTGGAACTCTGATATGGTGATGAAAAACCAGTTTTCAATTGAGTTGACAATATATGAATTGATTGACGTCTTCGGTAGGACAGTCCCCAGGAACTGATAACTAAGAATAGGTTTATGAAGTTAGGAAGTATATCATGTACCAAGTCATAAATTAGTATACAAATACCATTATCAACAATTAAATCACAATATGAAATGTACTAGTTTATGTAAGAAACAGCTCAACAAGCTCAAATATTGTTTATAATTCATAGACACCCATAATACCTAACACTGAATGATAATACCTCATAAAAATCAAACGGTAAAATTCTTGTCTATTAGCTCCCTCTCCATGAAAAACCTGCTCCATTGTCTTCCAACTAAAGAAAAATATGGAAGGGAATGTCTACTGGCCAATGATTAGCACTTGTGACCCATTCTTGATGAATTGATGAAATATAGAGGTATCCTTAGGGGTCTATTAACATATCTTCAATGTCCGGTGGTATTGGCATTATAACAACTTATGTACATCACAGATGTTTGTTTCTGTTTTTTCATTGGATATGAACAGAACAAGACCAAGCATAACATGTTTTACTGGTGAATCCCAAGATATTTTGCTGTCCACTTGGTCTTTTCTTTATATATAATTTGGCATGGATTTATTCTCACTTCATACTGTGAGATGCGAAACTCAAAATTTATTCTAGACTTTTTTCTGAAAAATTTGTTATAAAAGAGAGAGAGCAATTGTCAATAAATTATTTGTACTTTCATCAAGATATCAACCCATTAAACACATCATTTTAACAAAAACATGTTTACCTTTGTTTTTGATCGGTGACAAGTCTTTTGATTCATTATGTGTTCGAAACTCAAATCAAATATGATAGCTACACCAGTAGATCATACACATGTCACAAAGAGTGTTGTCAACAGTGTGGATGGATTGTGTCACAATTCATACTTTGAATGGAATAAAGATTTGTTTGAAATAACTAAGCAATCTGGGACTTGTATAATTTGTGTTAAATATGTAGCTTTGTTTTCTCTATATTAAGAAACCTCATCCCATAGGTTTGTTATTTCTCTGTTAAATGGTTTATAGGAGTGAAAGACAAAGATAACTCTGCTGTAGTAACAAGTGTGCAAGTCTCTGTTTATTTTTTATTTTTCCAAAAAATAGATTTTCAATGCAAAAATTCTTAAGAAATTTGTACAGAATATTTTGAATATATTTGTTCCTCATCTAGAGAGAAATAAGATGTCACCAGAAAGTCTTTGGGATTAATTAATGACAAACTTGGTACGGCCCAATACCATGTGACTAATCATAGGCTTGTCGTGGATCGGGATCATAACCATCCCAGTAATCCTCTTTATACCGTTAGGGATCTTTGCCATGTATTCATTTTGATTCCGGTAGTTTTATAGAAACAAAACAAACAAAAAACAACAAAAATCCAAAATCAGTTTGTGTTGAATGAATAAAAATTAGTTTTCATTTTTAAAAAAGTTTTATTAATCAAAATGATACATTGATGATCAAAACATATAATGGTACTGTAATGGGCAATTCTATTCCATTAATCCCAAACATCATAGAAAGTAAAAAAGATGTTCCAGAATTTTTTGGAAGATTATTAATGTCATACTTGCAAATTTCACTTTTATACACTTTGGTTGTTAACATCTGTTCAAAAAACCAGGTCGTTGTTTTCTTATTGTGAGAGATCTTCTGTTTTTTAAGAGATTGCGTATCAAGTACATGCAAAGAGACAAAATCTATTTTCTGCTAATCTTTTCTGACATGTCATCCAAATAGTTCAAACACTAAGGGATGACTAGTATCTCTTTATTTTTTCCCCTGAAACAGGTTTGTAAAGAAATGAGATTGCCTTTATGAACATGCTCAAATAAATTAGTATTATAACAGGTATGAGATTATATCATCAGGATAACAGTTAACACTCCACCATTGCTGGAACTCAGGGTATAACTTATCACTAGCACGTACGACTCAAGCTTACACTCCAGTTTGTCAGATCTAGATATTTAAAACCGTATTGAGCGAATTGTCGAATATAATAGTCCGGTAAACCTGGGAAAATTAGCAAAATGATGGAATCAAAAAATTGCATTTCTGATGAGAAATGTTATGTAAGTAGTATAGATATGTTCTCTAAAAATGTACATTTTCCCCTAACATATGATGTATTTTCATTTCTAGCTACAAGTAAACAATGAAGCCAGGTATTTTTGTTCCCATATCAAGATAGAACTCTGATCATGAGTTTCCAAGTAATATTGTTACTATACTCTGGTAGTTTGGGACGAAATTTTAATTAATATATTTTCAGTATGAGGTTTTAGACATCGGAAAATGTTTGTTTTATAATGATCAGCCTTAAATGAAGGTGTATAAATGACATGTAGAGTGAGTATTGATGAAGTGGTCACAAATCACACAGTGTCGAAAGTATCCGGTAGAAATTTTACAATTACCAGATAACACCTGAAGGGAGGCTATTCAAATTCTGTGTATTCTTCAGGACCTACAAGATCGTGAGATAGTTAGCGTCAATCCTTTTTATAACGGACGATCGTGAGATGGTTAGCGTCAATCCTTATTATAACGGACGATCGTGAGTGGTTAGCGTCAATCCTTATTATAACAGACGATCGTGAAACAGTTAGCGTCAATCCTTATTATAACAGACAATCATGAAAAGGTTAGCATCAATCCTTATTATAACAGACGATCGTGAAAAGGTTAGCGTCAATCCTTATTATAACAGACGATCGTGAAAAGGTTAGCGTCAATCCTTATTATAACAGACGATCGTGAAAAGGTTAGCGTCAATCCTTATTATAACAGACGATCGTGAAAAGGTTAGCGTCAATCCTTATTATAACAGACGATCGTGAAAAGGTTAGCGTCAATCCTTATTATAACAGACGATCGTGAAAAGGTTAGCGTCAATCCTTATTATAATGGACGATTGTGAGATGGTTAGCGTCAATCCTTATTATAACAGACGATCATGAAAAGGTTAGCGTCAATCCTTATTATAACGGACGATCGTGAGATGGTTAGCGTCAATCCTTATTATAACGGACGATCGTGAGATGGTTAGCGTCAATCAATATTATAACGGACGATCGTGAGATGGTTAGCATCAATCCTTATTATAACGGACGATCGAGAGATGGTTAGCTTAGGTTCAACATTACAAAGATAACTGGAAATCCCACACACGGTTTTTGTAGAGTTTCACTGAATGTTAAGCCTTAACTTGATACTCACTTGATACTCAGCAATATTTCCAGTACAGTATCAACAAGAACATTTGCCCAATCATTAATTGGTACTTATTATTTGTTGTTAATTAAAGTTAAGTTCAACTTAATGATGTATGGTTTCTGTGACAAAGAAGTATGCACTATGTTTTGTTGTGAATACATGACTTTGTAAACGGTGAAGTGACTGTAACTACAATGGCATCAAAACCATCACCAAGGTTACCTCAGCAACACATTGTTTTATATACTAACAAATTAAAACAATGGAAAAACTGATGAACAATTTTCATGAATATGTTTTTGTTTGTGTGATTATGCTTATCTAGGTATTCACAATACAATGTTGTTCAGATTTATGAGGGGAAAAAAGGCTTATAAATTTACATACATTACCTGGTAATGTGTTAAAAGATTAAACACAATATCTTGGATTTAACTTTCCTCCTAGATTAGCGAGTAAAAAAGTATTTTACAAGATGGAGTAATTTAAAGTATTAACATTTGGTGAATTAAAAAAAATGAAATGATGTGATCACCAAAAGAAGTGGTTGTTTCTGTATATTTGGTTATAATTCTTGTTTACTTTACCACCAACTACACAACTGTTAATACTGCTATACAATTGTGTAGGACTTGGTGTGCGGGTGTGTTTTACCACTGTAACGGTTTACTGATATATATTAGGTTCATCAATTGTTTTTTACCTTACCACAGCAGTGAAATATGTATAATTAATTAGGTGTTATTGATACTGAATATTTTCAGACTATAATGTAACTTAAGTTGAAACCTAAAGAACAGGTGAGAAACGTGTACAAGTTAATGGTATGTACAAATAAATGTGATTTGATGGAGAGATGTACATTTTTTATCTCCATTCTGTTGGCATTAATTAGAAAGCCAATCATTTCTCACAATGCTGTATAAGATAGTTTGGGTTTTATAAGTAAATCTATTTATTACAGTTGTGAGTGGTAAACAGCTGCTCTGTATGATATACAATTGGAGACCTCCATGGATGTGATAGATCCTCTGATGTAAATTACTATTTTTAACTGCCTTGTCAATCTTTCAGGTTGAGCTAGCTTAGTGGCCTTGAGCCGGTTATATCATAAATGCCTTTTCTGTTTTCCTACATGACAGTACCAGCTACCAATGTACAGCTACATAGTAGACTGGAACAATCGGGGGAAATCCTTATGGGATTGCTCTGTACTTTTTAATACTGTACTCTAGTGAAGTCATAGCGCCTGAATTCTATATAAAAACACTTAACAAGTGCCTGTAGGTCTAAAAGATCAGGAAACGCTATCCATTGGTCAAACATTCAACGTTCTGGTCAATAACTAGACAAACCTGGTCACATTGTACTTAGCAGCGTCCTCACCCCGTGTTGCAATAGGTTCTTGTGCATCAGAGGGATGCTGTAGGATCACCCATCGTACCCAACCAAAGACATCCTGTAGTGGGATTCCATTTTTTGAAAATTAAGGATAAGGTTTTCTATTGAACAATTCTCTTCCATAAACAGACATTAATCCAATACACTCTACATAAATACTTATGTTTGTAAGAAGTTACATACATTCTACGCCAAAGTTTAGATGCAAGGGTAATCGTAGGATTGTAGAAACAAACATTGATATGATTTTACTTAAGTCTATCTCTACTGCATGTCTGTCACTCACAGAGATGTCAGCCGTCCCCTTATTCATAAACACATTAATGTGTACACAGGGTGCTACACTACATACTAGGTTACTTGTAGCTGTGTACATATGTAACATCATGTATGTTGCATTCAAATACTGACTTGTATGGTACACTGCATAAATGTATTTTGTATGCCTGACACCAGTGTCAGTCAGGTTTCCAATAGGTGTGCTTTGTACGCTACATGTGTATGGTACACCTCATACAGTTTTTGTATGGAATATATTTGTCAACAAGGTGTCCGATGGATGTGTTTTGTATGCTACATTTACAGCTGTTTTTGTATGGGATATATCTGTCATCAAGGTGTCCGATAGATGTGTTTTGTATGCTACATTTACAGCTGTTTTTGTATGGGATATATCTGTCAACAAGGTGTCCGATAGATGTGTTTTGTATGCTATATTTACAGCTGTTTTTGTATTGAATATATCTGTCAACAAGGTGTCCGATAGATGTGTTTTGTATGCAGCTACATGTATTCAGTATTGTATGGTCCAAACATGCATCAATTAGGTACATATATGTACATTTGTTAGGTACATACCTGTGTCAGTGTGGTAATCACCATAGCTGTACATTTGTAAGGTACATATGTAAGGTACATACCTCTGTCTTTGGGGTATATCCCATTGGTACACTTGTTAGGTACATGTGTCTTTGTAAGGTACATGTGTCTGTGAGGTACTCACAATAGCTGTACATTTGTATGGTACATATGTAAGGTACATACCTGTGTCTGTGAGGTATAACCCATAGATATAATTTGTAAGGTACAATCCCGTGTCTTTGGGGTATATCCGATAGATATATTTTGTATGGTACATTTGTAAGGTACATACCTGTGTCTTTGGGGTATATCCCATAGATATATTTTGTATGGTACATTTGTAAGGGACATACCTGTGACTTTGGGGTATATCCCATAGATATATTTTGTATGGTACATTTGTAAGGTACATACCTGTGACTTTGGGGTATATCCCATAGATATATTTTGTATGGTACATTTGTATGGTACATACCTGTGACTTTGGGGTATATCCCATAGATTTACATTTGTATGGTACATTTGTAAGCTACATACCTGTGTCTTTGGGGTATATCCCATAGATATATTTTGTATGGTACATTTGTATGGTACATTCCTGTGACTTTGGGGTATATCCCATAGATATATTTTGTATGTTACATTTGTAAGGTACATACCTGTGTCTTTGGGGTATATCCCATACATATGTTTTGTATGGTACATTTGTAAGGTACATACCTGTGACTTTGGGGAATATCCCATAGATATATTTTGTATGGTACGTTTGTAAGGTACATTCCTGTGTCTTTGGGGTATATCCCATAGATATATTTTGTATGTTACATTTGTAAGGTACATACCTGTGTCTTTGGGGTATATCCCATAGATTTACATTTGTTTGGTACATTTGTAAGCTACATACCTGTGTCTTTGGGGTATATCCCATACATATATTTGGTATGGGACATTAGTAAGGTACATACCTGTGTCTTTGGGGTATATCCCATACATATGTTTTGTATGGTACATTTGTAAGGTACATACCTGTGACTTTGGGGTATATCCCATAGATTTACATTTGTATGGTACATTTCTATAGTACATTTGTATGGTACAAACCTGTGTCTTTGGGGTATATCCCATACATATATTTTGTATGGTACATTTGTAAGGGACATACCTGTGTCTGTGAGGTATATCCCATAGATATATTTTGTATGTTACATTTGTAAGGTACATACCTGTGTCTGTAAGGTATATCCCATAGATATATTTTGTATGTTACATTTGTAAGGTACATACCTGTGTCTTTGGGGTATATCCCATACATATATTTTGTATGGTACATTTGTAAGGGACATACCTGTGACTTTGGGGTATATCCCATAGATTTACATTTGTATGGTACATTGCTATAGTACATTTGTATGGTACAAACCTGTGTCTTTGGGGTATATCCCATACATATATTTTGTATGGTACATTTGTAAGGTACATACCTGTGTCTTTGTGGTATATCCCATAGACGTGACTGTAAATACATCCACTGCTTGTGTATATATGAAACATCTCATAGCTGTGTCTATATGTAACATCCCATGGCAATGTCTGTATGATATGCGAAGTGTTTTGCAAATATTTATTTTTTTCTCCAATTTTGATTCGATAAGGAAACGTGCTGCAAAGGTTGATTGTGTTCCTTGTTGTATTTGATTCATGCCAAGTTGTCAATCACTACATACATAATGTCCATTGTCATTTGATATTTATATGACATCATCATTAGATAGATCGTACAAGTAGGTAGTTTTGTACAAATAAACAATCAACATGTCAAACTTTTGTGTCGTTGGTGGTTTGTATGGATACCTGATCTTTTCGACAGGAGACTGTAAATATGGTAATCAAAGCATTGGCCCCGATTCTTATTGTCCTTTTACCATATTTATTTAACGATAAGTCCATGTCTGGTACGAAGCCCACCTATATAAATTGCAGTTCATAAGAATTGCCAACAAATGCTAAATCATTGGTCTGCAATAAGTCCATCCCCCAACTGGAGTCTAAGATTATATGTTGGCCCAAGGTTAACCATTACATGTAAACACCATAAAGTTAACAGTGAAAAAGGTTCTAAAAAGGAATCATTTGTAAAAAGTATACGGGTAAACAGTTTGTCAAAACCCTGGATCTACCCATGGACCATATCTACATAGAGTTAACTTATGTGTATCTGTATAACAACAGGACATAAACTCTGGGCTAAACCTAGGTGTATCTGTGTAACAACAGGAAATAAACTCTGGGCTAAACCTATGTGTATCTCTATAACAACAGGACATAAACTCGGGGCTAAACCTAGGTGTATCTGTATAACAACAGGCCATAAACTCTGGGCTAAACCTAGGTGTATCTGAATAACAACAGGACATAAACTCTGGCCTAAACCTAGGTGTATCTGTATAACAACAGGACATACACTCTGGGCTAAACCTATGTGTATCTGTATAACTACAGGAAATAAACTCTGGGCTAAACCTATGTGTATCTGTATAACTACAGGAAATAAACTCTGGGCTAAACCTATGTGTATCATTATAACAACAGGAAATAAACTCTGGGCTAAACCTAGGTGTATCTGAATAACAACAGGACATAAACTCTGGCCTAAACCTAGGTGTATCTGTATAACAACAGGAAATAAACTCTGGGCTAATCCTATGTGTATCTGTATAACAACAGGACATAAAGTCTGGGCTAAACCTATGTGTATCTGTATAACTACAGGAAATAAACTCTGGGCTAAACCTATGTGTATCCGTATAACAACAGGACATAAACTCTGGGCTAACCATATCTACATAGAGTTAACTTATGTGTATCTGTACAACAACAGGACATAAACTCTGGGCTAAACCTAGGTGCATCTGTATAACAACAGGACATAAACTCTGGGCTAACCCTAGGTGTATCTGTATAACAACAGGAAATAAACTCTGGTCTAAACCTATGTGTATCAATATAACAACAGGAAATAAACTCTGGGCTAAACCTAGGTGTATCTGTGTAACAACAGGAAATAAACTCTGGGCTAAACCTATGTGTATCCGTATAACAACAGGACATAAACTCTGGGCTAACCCTAGGTGTATCTGTATAACAACAGGACATACACTCTGGGCTAAACCTATGTGTATCTGTATAACAACAGGAAATAAACTCTGGGATAAACCTATGTGTATCAATATAACAACAGGAAATAAACTCTGGGCTAAACCTATGTGTATCATTATAACAACAGGAAATAAACTCTGGGCTAAACCTATGTGTATCATTATAACAACAGGAAATAAACTCTGGGCTAAACCTATGTGTATCTCTATAACAACAGGACATAAACTCGGGGCTAAACCTAGGTGTATCTGTATAACAACAGGCCATAAACTCTGGGCTAAACCTAGGTGTATCTGTGTAACAACAGGAAATAAACTCTGGGCTAAACCTAGGTGTATCTGTGTAACAACAGGAAATAAACTCTGGGCTAAACCTAGGTGTATCTGTGTAACAACAGGAAATAAACTCTGGGCTAAACCTAGGTATATCTGTATAACAACAGGACATAAACTCTGGCCTAAACCTAGGTGTATCTGTATAAAAACAGGACATAAACTCTGGGCTAAACCTAGGTGCATCTGTATAACAACAGGAAATAAACTCTGGCCTAAACCTATGTGTATCTGTATAACACCAGGACATAAACTCTGGGCTAAACCTAGGTGCATCTGTATAACAACAGGAAATAAACTCTGGCCTAAACCTATGTGTATCTGTATAACACCAGGACATAAACTCTGGCCTAAACCTATGTGTATCTGTATAACACCAGGACATAAACTCTGGGCTAAACCTAGGTGCATCTGTATAACAACAGGAAATAAACTCTGGCCTAAACCTATGTGTATCTGTATAAAAACAGGACATAAACTCTGGGCTAAACCTAGGTGTATCTGTGTAACAACAGGAAATAAACTCTGGGCTAAACCTGTGTAACTGTATAACAACAGGAAATAATCTCTGGGCTAAACCTAGGTGGCCGATATAGGTAACAAACATCTAGACAGTCAGATCACATTTTATTACAGTTTCAACAATACATATATTGAAAGAGTTATATTATTTACAATGTATTTACAAAGTCTGTGCCTACCTACATGTATCTGATAAACAAATGTACAATCTGATCTACTAATTACAGTATGTACAATATATGTACACTACGATTCAACTTTGGTATAAACTTTAACAGCTTGCGAAATCTTTATCATTATGCTATACAGAAGACTTTTGATGTTTCGTTTGATACAAGAATATCAAGTTAATAGTATTGCACATGAAAACAGCACATCATTACAGCATTATGTCCTGCCAATCGAGGTGTACTCTCCAATTCAGATTCTAATTCAATATAGCATGGGGTATCATAGTACTGTAAATGAGGATTAAATTGTATTTAAGACTATGTCTACCCAATCAGAATACACCTGTAGTAAATTAGGATCTGAAATGAATTAAGTCCCCTCCTTTCAATTGATGAGGAGACTAGAGGACTATAAGGAGGTAACTGGTTCTAATATAATCTTGACATTGTCACCCGGTAATTTTGAAACTGTAAAAAGTACTTCATGAAACTTTTAAGTATACCTGCATCATCCCCAGGAGTTGTACACTTAAATTTGGTCACTGTGACCTTCACTTCAAGGTCAAATAGGTGCAAACATTTCATGCACTAGTGTATTTAGATCACTGAGGCATTTACCTATAAGTCAAAGGTCAAAATGAATGCAAAGCAAATATGCATTGGCCGATATGGAGAGACAAGTTCTTTTTTTCTTCTTCAAAAGTACAAAAGATAAGATTACACCTGTAGCACTATAAAGCAATTAACAAGGCTTAAATATACACCTGGACAAGTTGCCATTAGACCCAGTACTCGTACAATATGTCTCCTTTCATTAAAACAGGAGACATAATCATTGCAGTATGGCTAACTTACTAGAGTGGGATATTGGCCAAGTATAAACTCCAACTCTACTGTAATGCCATGAATAACACCCTGAACTCACTCGAGTGAGAGTGGTTGGTTGTATTCCTCCATGTTACATAACTAAATCATCATAAACATGACTAAAACATACAGATTGAATAAGTCTCTTAATATTTCAATTTGTTGAATGAAAGTTACATACCATTTAGAATATTCAGTTCCTATATTATTTTACGTATTTTGAAAGTAAGTTTATCACATATTTAAGTCTACTTCCTACCCAGGTTTACTGGTTCTGTAATTTTTTAATCACACTTTCAGGTCAACCTCCAATGTTTATCACATTTCAAGGTCAAGCTACGATGTTTGTCACATTTAAAGGTCAAGCTACATGTTTCTCACATTTTAAGGTCACCTTCCCATGTTTCTCACATTTCCAGGTCAAGCTCCCATGGTTATCACATTTCCAGGTCAAACTCCCATGATTATCACATTTCCAGGTCAAGCTCCCATGATTATCACATTTCCAGGTCAAGCTCCCATGGTTATCACATTTCGACGTCAGCGTCACGCTCAGGATTAGTGGTACCAACATTACTCAGCTGGGTGGTACTAATGTCGGGTTGGTGTTGTCCATCCATTGAGCCCGTTTTGTCGGCAGTGGGTGCAGGTGTGTGGGGAACCATTCCTCGGGTGTTCTCTGCTGGTTCCTGTTGTTGGATGTACTTCTCCATCAGCCACGCCTGGCCCCGGTTAAAGTTCCGACTCAGTTCAAACAGATTTAATACTGACATTTTCTGATAGAGTTAAGGAATCTGTATAAAGGATATTGGAATAAAATTGCCTTTTCTTGAATCTATGCATGGATATCATTGTAAAGAGATGGGATTGTTCACTGGTGTTGTGTAAGGCACCACAAAGCATGTTACTGTCCAAGGGGAGGTAACTGGTCAAATTAACATGATGAAAACAACAGCAGGAGTACTAGGTACTGTGTAAGCTTATAAGTTTATCTGGACCCAAATGAGAGAGGGAGATAGAGATTGCTATATGCAAGATAGGAGTTCCAGATTGACAGTGGATTTTGAGAAGAAATTGTAACTATATGTACAATTTGCAGACCTGTAAATAAATACAAGTGAAACATTGTGGAATCTTCACTCTAGAACACTACACATTAATATAAATATCACGACATGATCTCAGCAAAATAACCCCAAAACATTATTTCTAGATTTATATTAAAATCAATGAGGTTCCTCGATTCTGACAAAGATGGAAAATTGTTAAATATTTAGAAAAAAATATCTGAACATGTCTTAAATATGTTGGGAAAGCCTAGTATACTCACTAAACACTTAAATCATGTACATATTTACCAGTCTATGGATACCTGCACATTTGGTGTTCAATAGAATGCAAACTGACTAAAAACAGTTGCAGTCAAGTATGGTAAACTGGCTGGTATGCAAGCAAAAAATCAAATGGCCGAATGTAATTATGTGATATGAGAGGGAAAATACAGCCAGACTGGTAATCCTCTGATCTCTACAGGAACGCTCCAACTAATTACTGACCTACCTGGTAACTAGCCACTGCCCCAGTCCAGTCCTCTCATGTTCATCCCTCTTTCAACTTAGTCTTCCATCCCAAAGACACATGAGACACTTTACAAATGTGCCATCTTTTTGGGGTTTAGTATTTGGGCAACAAATGGAACAGGAAAAGAAAATTGCAACAGCCAGCTGACCAGGGTTCAGTCATGGGACTTCAAACAAGACACCGGTCACTGAGCAACTGAGCTACCTTACATCCAGTAACGGCATGTATAGGTACCTATGCTATGTTATATCTATATTCATGTCCCAGCAAGTTTGTTATCTTTAAGTTAATACCATACTTTGCTGAACCTTTCTTAGTTCATTTAAAAAGGATACCGATTTATTTGGCAAGGGAGGTAACTGGATCATGGAGGGAGGCTGTGTCAATCGTAAATCACTGGATCCTGTAATTGACAGACAACATTAGTGTAGAGACATTTAACAATGTACTGTTGAAAGATCATTCAAAGTAACAAATTTCATCATTCAAACTACATATTAAGATACCTAAGAATCATTACGTTAGTAAGAAAAGTGGAGATAAATCATTACTGAGAAGCTCTGAGGATTCAAAACTCCTGTAAATTATCCAATAATAGTTTAAGGGGAGGAATTTATTTCTACAATCTTGTAACTTTATTACAGACATTTTAAAATCATCATTCATATAAATTGAATACTCATTACATTGCCACCATTTGTCCAACAAACTTTTGGTGTTTTATTGGGGTTCTGCAATGCATTGAGGGAGAGGTATAAAGATAATAAGAAAACAGAAATGGGGACCATGAATTATATCGATGGTAAGTGAGGCAGCAAATGAAATGAGACATTGTACACATGTGTTACTTATCCCCAAACACAACAACAGCAAAATATGTCCCTCCAGCCTCAAAATTTCCAGCCAATATAGGAGATGTACCAACAGAAGTTTACAACCAGAATGTGCATCTGTTTAAAGTTTGCGTACCATTGGGATGAAAGTACTGGTGGGCTCTCGGGTTGAACACTGTACCTCTCTTGTATGGCATAAACAATGCCGGTAAACTCACTTCTGCAAACACAAACAATAAATATTGAGATAATTGTACAAATAAAAACAAAACTTCAGTTCAATTCATTAAATAATATGTGGTCATATGGATTTTAGCCTTTCTAAAAACCTAGACAAAATAAATGGGAGTATGGATTTCCATGATAATTCTTTAATCAGCCTTTGCCTCAATAGACCAATCAAATACGAACAATCTAAAGTATTCAAAGAAATTTAAATGCACATGACCTCTAATCCTAACTTTTCACTCATCCTAAAATCACTGACCTTAACCTATAACACCACTGACCTTGACCTCTCTTAACACACTGACCTTTGAGGGCATCGTATATCTCCTCCTCTTTCTTGCTGAGTTTGTGCTGACCGGCTAGCTTCCTCTCGATGTCCTCCTGGATTTGTTTGGAGATCTTGCTGACCATCTCCTCCTTATGTTTGTTTGACTCTTCCTCGAACCAGGCCAGACGGTCCAGGAACTGACAAGACGACACACATAAGTTATTTAACCTCTACAGTGTTCAAAACCTGTTGTATTTAACGCAGTGTTCTCAATCAGGATCATTTCAAAAGATGTATAAATCCCTACCTAATACTACAGTTGTTTGTAACAGTTATTGACCTAATACTACAGTTGTTTGTAACAGTTATCGACCATGTTCAAGTGGTTTCACTGAAGAAAAGAAAATGAACAAAACTACATGTTTATTTTTTTCTCTAAAAACTGTACCTGAAGGCTAAACATGGTATTGATATGATGATCATGATCAACATATTCTTCTTCAATATTAAATATTTAAAATTGCTTTTATTAATTTTATAAGAAAACTGAACTAGTTAAGGGGTCATTCTGACATGGGACTGACACCAAACTATCTGCAGTATAGAAACGACCACTGATTTTGGCTGTGGGCAAGAATTTACATTTAAAATTTACATCATGTTTTGATGTTGCAGAAATCATGTGAATGAAATTTTCCAAGGTATATTTTGACAATGTAAAGTTGTCACTTACATCCTCCGGAATGCCTGGCCCCCAGTGTTGAGGGGTGGGGCGGGACGGCCGGGCAGGTTTAGGTTGGCGTACAGATGGCAGAGGGTGAGACTTTCTCATGTCTGGAGCAGTTTCTGGTCGGCTAGAAAATAGAAAAGTTCAAACTAAATTTTTTTTTTTTTTTATGTCTGGATGGGACCTATTTTGTCCTGCCTTAATATCTCTATCATAACAATATAATCTGCCAGGCTCTGTAACAGTAGACAACTAACACGGGGTCACACTGTAGGTAGACTACCTGTCAGGCTCTGTAACAGTAGACAACTAACACGGGGTCACACTGTAGGTAGACTACCTGTCAGGCTCTGTAACAGTAGACAATTGACACGGGGTCACACTGTAGGTAGACTACCTGCCAGGCTCTGTAACAGTAGACAACTGACACTGGGTCACACTGTAGGTAGACTACCTGTCAGGCTCTGTAACAGTAGACAATTGACACTGGGTCACACTGTAGGTAGACTACCTGCCAGGCTCTGTAACAGTAGACAATTGACACTGGGTCACACTGTAGGTAGACTACCTGCCAGGCTCTGTAACAGTAGACAATTGACACTGGGTCACACTGTAGGTAGACTACCTGCCAGGCTCTGTAACAGTAGACAATTGACACTGGGTCACACTGTAGGTAGACTACCTGCCAGGCTCTGTAACAGTAGACAATTGACACTGGGTCACACTGTAGGTAGACTACCTGCCAGGCTCTGTAACAGTAGACAATTGACACTGGGTCACACTGTAGGTAGACTACCTGCCAGGCTCTGTAACAGTAGACAATTGACACTGGGTCACACTGTAGGTAGACTACCTGCCAGGCTCTGTAACAGTAGACAATTGACACTGGGTCACACTGTAGGTAGACTACCTGCCAGGCTCTGTAACAGTAGACAATTGACACTGGGTCACACTGTAGGTAGACTACCTGCCAGGCTCTGTAACAGTAGACAATTGACACTGGGTCACACTGTAGGTAGACTACCTGCCAGGCTCTGTAACAGTAGACAATTGACACTGGGTCACACTGTAGGTAGACTACCTGCCAGGCTCTGTAACAGTAGACAATTGACACTGGGTCACACTGTAGGTAGACTACCTGCCAGGCTCTGTAACAGTAGACAATTGACACTGGGTCACACTGTAGGTAGACTACCTGCCAGGCTCTGTAACAGTAGACAATTGACACTGGGTCACACTGTAGGTAGACTACCTGCCAGGCTCTGTAACAGTAGACAATTGACACTGGGTCACACTGTAGGTAGACTACCTGCCAGGCTCTGTAACAGTAGACAATTGACACTGGGTCACACTGTAGGTAGACTACCTGCCAGGCTCTGTAACAGTAGACAATTGACACTGGGTCACACTGTAGGTAGACTACCTGCCAGGCTCTGTAACAGTAGACAATTGACACTGGGTCACACTGTAGGTAGACTACCTGCCAGGCTCTGTAACAGTAGACAATTGACACTGGGTCACACTGTAGGTAGACTACCTGCCAGGCTCTGTAACAGTAGACAATTGACACTGGGTCACACTGTAGGTAGACTACCTGCCAGGCTCTGTAACAGTAGACAATTGACACTGGGTCACACTGTAGGTAGACTACCTGCCAGGCTCTGTAACAGTAGACAATTGACACTGGGTCACACTGTAGGTAGACTACCTGCCAGGCTCTGTAACAGTAGACAACTGACACTGGGTCACACTGTAGGTAGACTACCTGTATACAGCAGGTAAACACCACCAGTGACACATTGAGAAATACAATACACTTTATTATTGTGACAGATGCATACAAGGTTATTTCATACTATAAGATGATTCAGTTTTTCAACAAAATTTTCTAGCACCTGACCCAAAGGGTCTATATAGTCACTTTGTATTAACTTGCATCAAGAGGTGAAATCATGTTCAACTTAAAGCAATTTATAACTCTATCTATTTTTGAGACAAAAGTTAACCTTTTACTGAATAACACATATTTTCTGATATCAAATATAGTTGTGAGATAAACATATAAATTTCATCCATCGCAGCTTCTGAATTGCACAAAACAGATGTCCATTATATGATCAACGGGTGATAGTTAAACTGACCTAGGACTGGACCTGGGAGGGATAGGAATGGTCTCCATGGTAGGGGATGCAGTGTTGACGGGCACCAGTGGTGGGGGCTGTGGCTGGGCCTCCCGTCGTGTGGCGCTACTCGCTGACCGGCGACTCTCCTGAGACAGGGGGCGCTGTGGTGGACGAGGGGCATGCTGTTGCTTTAACAATTGTTGTTGTTGGTATTCGATCTGTTGTTGCTGTTGTTGCTGCTGCTGTTTCAACTGTTCCTGCATCTGGAAGCGTGTTTCCTCCATCAACTGCAGGCTGTCTGTCAACTGTTGTAGGCGCTTCCTGTTAAAAATATGTTACATATGAAGGCAAATAAGTATTATATTAAGATATATCAAAATTTTATATTATTGAGCAATCAAGTATGGTTATCCAATAGACAATAACTGTTTATTCAGTCAGTCAGTTTAAATAATGTGGCTCAAGGTCATTCAATTATATAAACTTGATAGCCCTTTATCCCTATATGCTACAGGACAAATATCATGAACCTAGGCTAGGCCTCTTGGGTATTCAGAAGAAGTTGTTAAAAGATGCTCAGAATACACATGTCTGTAGCTGGGTAGACTGTGCTGCTACCCTTGTCTGTAGCTGAGTAGACTGTGTTGCTACCCATGTCTGTAGCTGAGTAGACTGGGCTGCTACCCATGTTTCTAGTTCGGTAGACTGTGCTGCTACGCATGTCTGTAGCTGGGTAGACTGTGCTGCTACGCATGTCTGTAGCTGGGTAGACTGTGTTGCTACCCATGTCGATAGCAGCTAGGGTAGATTGTGCTGTTACACATGTATGTAGCTGGGTAGATTGTGTTGCTACCCATGTCTGTAGCTGGGTAGACTGTGCTGCTACGCATGTCTGTAGCTGGGTAGACTGTGCTGCTACGCATGTCTGTAGCTGGGTAGACTGTGTTGTTACCAATGTCTGTAGCTGGGTAGACTGTGCTGCTATGCATGTCTGTAGCTGGGTAGACTGTGTTGCTACCCATGTCGATAGCTGGGTAGATTGTGCTGCTACCTGTGTCTGTAACTGGGTAGATTGTGCTGCTACGCATGTCTGTAGCTGGGTAGACTGTGCTGCTACGTATGTCTGTAGCTTGGTAGATTGTGCTGCTACCCATGTCTGTAGCTGGGTAGACTGCCCTTATTCCCATGTCTGTAGCTTGGTAGATTGTGTTGCCAACCATGTCAGTAGCTGGGTAGACTGTGCTGCTACCCATGTTTGTAGCTGGGTAGATTGTGCTGCTACCCATGTCTGTAGCTGGGTAGACTGTGCTGCTACACATGTCTGTAGCTGGGTAGACTGTGTTGTTACCCATGTCTGTAGCTTGGTAGATTGTGCTGCTACCCATGTCTGTAGCTGGGTAGATTGTGCTGCTACCAATGTCTGTAGCTGGGTAGATTGTGCTGCTTTGCTGCTACCAATGTCTGTAGCTGATAGACTGTGCTGCTACCCATAGCTGTAGATGGGTAGACTGTGTTGCTAACAATGTCTGTAGCTTGGAAGACTGTGCTGCTACCAATGTCTGTAGCTGGTAGACTGTGCTGCTACCCATGGCTGTAGATGGGTAGACTGTGTTGCTAACAATGTCTGTAGCTTGGAAGACTGTGCTGCTACCCATGTCTGTAGCTGGTTGACTGTGCTGCTACCCATGGCTGTAGCTTGGTAGATTGTGATATTACCCATGTCTGCAGCTGGGTAGACTGTGTTGTTACCCATGTCGGTAGATTGTGTTGCTACCCATGTCTGTAGCTGGGTAGACTGCCCTTATTCCCATGTCTGTAGCTTGGTAGATTGTGTTGCTACCAATGTCGGTAGCTGGGTAGACTGTGCTGCTACCCATGTTTGTAGCTGGGTAGATTGTTAGACTTACTCATATTCCTCTTGTATGTTATGGAGATCATTGTTGTGTTTGTCCATCATCTCATCAAAATCACGCTTGAGAATCATTTCCTGGAACAAAAAAACGATGATAAATAATCATCCTCAAGTTCTTACTGATAGCTTTTGTTAACTGTAAATGAAAGCTTTTATAAAACAAATGTTGCATGCTGTTGATATAATTGATAACACATTTTGAAATTGTGAATTTCAAATCTTTCCATACCAAATTATAGCTTAAGGTCCTCCTCTGATTTACTCACACTCTTAAATTTAAACTCAATACTCAATAAACAGGAAGAATAAGCAAATTTAACAAGAGAGTAAAATATCTTTAGTGAAGTCGCTATTAAGTCCTCATAATTAGAAACTGCAGTCAACATTGCACTTATCAGTAATTTCCAACAGAGAGGTGAAAATACCACTGAGTGAGAAATCCTAGCTGTACAGAGTAGTCAAGTCTTTGATGTATAAGTTGTTCTGAGCAGGTAAAAACTCTTCTAAACACAGATTTATTGAGAGAATATACCACTGCAAGATATGATTCTACAAATGACATCACAATGTTTGTTGTAACAGGTACACACCTCCTTTGGTTCAGGGGTAAGCTCCTTGGAAGGAGGTGGAGGAGTTGGTTCTTTTGGAGGAGGTGGTGTAAGCTCCTTAGGGGGAGGGGGAGGAGGAGTTGGTTCCTTCGGGGGTGGGGGAGGGGGGGTTGGCTCCTTTGGTGGTTCAGGGGTCAAGCGTAGGGCTGAGCTGGCCTGATCTCTTAGTTCCTTGTTCAGGTCTTCTTTCCTCCATGTGTCAAGGTCAATACCAGCCAGATCAAACACCAAGGAGTTCAAGGTCATTGTTCCTAAAATATTCATTGATATTGTTGTAAATATAATACCTGTATATACTGGTAATAAATATCATCTGTAATAAAACAAAAATCATAACAAAAATTATTAACTATCAAATTATATATCACTGTACAAGATTAAAACAATATTTACCTGATTTTATTTAAGCTCCATTTGTAAGTTATAAGCATGCAATATTACTTTAATGTTCTTAGCCTTATGTAATAAACATTAAATTCACTCACCACACTGTCGATTGAATTCCTGGGGCTTGAGACGTTTGCCTATGTACATGACAAGTGGAAGTGTGCCACAAGATGCATGCATGGAGTCACCTTTAGCAGGGTTAACCGACAACAAGGGGAACGGAACAGCTTCTATGTCCTTTACAAGTTCATTGGCCACAGGTTCTTGCTGTTTCTTAACATCCTCTCCTGGTAGACTGATCTCCACATCATCAGAAAGCGAGTCAAAGTCGCCCACATCACTTCTTCCCCCACGACCTCTGGGGGTCGTCGGGACGTCGTCATCCCCATGGGGCTCAGGTAGGTACACCTCCTTCAAATCCTGATGGGAAACGGTGATATGGTCGTGAAGGCATCATGATATATATATATACTCTGCTGACATTGCTTTATCTGTACTGACTAACATTCATTTACCACTAATGATAAAATTACAATGCATCAATTATTTAATATTCTTAAAATTTAATTTTCCTCAACTTTACAAGAACAAAATTTCCACTTTCTGAATTCAAACTTTATGTTCAGGAATTGAATATGTTTTATATGAAATTTTCTTTTAACTAATCCAGAAACCAAAAATGACTGGGAATGAGATGTCACTGATTATAAATGTCTGTTATTCTATTATTTGAATAAGACTTTGTTATTGAGATCAAACTTACCAACGCCTTGATATCCTCCATGTCTATGGTTGCCATGGCGAAGATTTCCTCCTGAGGACCAACATGAACAGACACTTGTATGTTCTGAGGTTCCTCCTTGGTTGGTTTGGTCCATACCCCATCTGGTACCTCTTCAGGGATGTCAAAGGACATCTCCTCAAATCTAAAACCCATTACAAGGTAAAACCAGACCAAACGATATTTGTTTCCTATTGTATATCCAAAATCAAGGTCATATACCCCATACACCTTTGTTACTGATATTAAACAGGTGTGCTGAATTCAACAGTATTCTTAAAAATTTATCATGCAATATCAGGTTACAACAAAAAATGAAAAAGGTCAGGGTCGTGACAGGAAGCACATATTCTTTTGGCCTCATAAAACAGTTTTCATTCTCTACACAGGTGTTAGTTGTAAATCATTGTTGGAAATAACATTTGAATCAAATGAATCATATGTTTAAAGAATTACACTTTGCCAGTTTTATTTTCTATTTCCTTCATTCAACAGTTAACGGCATCTTGTGCTTGCAAACCTGATTTAACAATTACTGATTTAAAATTATTTTAGATTTAGTAATACACAATTCAGTGTAAGCATACAGATATATATAATTTGAGCAGATAAAAACAGATGATACCTTGACTTGGTGGCCTTCTCTTCTGCCTTCTTCTTTTTCTCTAACTTATCTGCATAAAATATATTAACTTGTTTTAACACACATCACACTGTAGCCCTTTGCTTTTTCTTTACAGTTTTCACTGTCTGACCTATATCAACAAAACTGTCCGTCCAATGTCTCCACTCCTAAACGTCTGTGAAATATCTGTCCTAAATTGTATGTCCAATGTCTGTCCTCAATTGTCTGTTCCACATCTGTCCTAAATTGTATATCCAATGTCTGTCCTCAATTGTCTGTTCCACATCTGTCCCAAATTGTATGTCCAATGTCTGTCCTCAATTGTCTGTTCCACATCTGTCCCAAATTGTATGTCCAATGTCTGTCCTCAATTGTCTGTTCCACATCTGTCCTAAATTGTATGTCCAATGTCTGTCCTGAACTGTCTGTCCAATGAAACTCTTCTTCTAAAATGTCTATTCAATGTCTGTCCTAAATTGTCTGTACCAGAATACATTTTATAGTTATGATAACATCTTTGGTTTAAATATCATAAAAGTTCATCAGAGTCTATATAACTGATGCTTTTGAAGAATACATTTGCCATACAATGCTTTCTTTGAAATTTGCTGAAATCAATCATGACTAGAAAAACTGTGTAAATGAAATAGGTTTTTACAAAAATTGGAAAGAACTTTATTTCAAATACATACAAAACAGACAGTAGTTTCACTGTATACAAAAAGTAAAACATGCAAGATATTCTTTACCCCTGTATAACATTTTAAGACAAACTATGGCATGCTATCGTCAAGGTTATGAAGCATGCATGAGAAACAGTCTGGTGCAATGGCGAAAAATCCAACACTCAACTACCAATTGAAAATCATAAAACCAGTTCTAGCAATCTGATATCTACAAAATTTTATGAGATGAAATATGTATTTCTAAGGATGTTATATTATAATTATCACAATAAAAAATCATTGAAAACCCTCAAATGTAAAGTTCGGAGACAGAACCTCATCAAGCCTTAGTTCTGACCCAAATACTACACCCTGACCCTGGAGTAGAACTAACATATTCTCCATACATTCTTAAATCCCCATACGTACAAGTAAATTAATCTGTTAATCCCCCGTACCTTAGGAACCTTTTAAATTCCCCATACCTATATTTGATAGACTATATTAGTTAACTTGTAGTTAGTGAAGAGTACAATATATATTAGAAATAATCACCAAAAGATTGATTATTGTGTATGTGTATATAAATAAATAGATTAATAAATAGTTAGATAAAACAGAGCCTAGTTCCAAGTATTTTCACTTTCAATTCTTTTGAAGCTCTTCAGAGACTAAATTATTTTTTACATCTTTTGAAAATTTTAAATTCTTCCAATTTTATTTACAGCATCACCATAGATCTTGCTTAGAACTTGGATGAACATGTTGTTTTTACAATTTGAAAATGTGTTTGTAAAACAATTTCTATGTAAGGATTTAATTACTGAAAAAAATCATTGGAGATCATACATGTATCTGTTCTTCTTGAAACATGCTTGATTTAAACTTCTCAAAATATTCACATTCATGATCATGACTACTCTTGAACAAGGCAAAGTATTGCAAGGCAATCCATAGTCCCCCCGTCGGTAATGATTTCTATATTTAACAAACAGTACACTCATGACAGGAAGCACAGGTCACAGTGTGATCACAGTGACCTAATTCTTGCATTCTGCACTCTGCACTCCGTCATCCCAAGACGTCCTTGTACACCAAATCTGGTTACTCCAGGTGAAACTATTTCAAATAGTATAGAAGATATGTCCCGGACAAACATTTTCAAAAGTGGAGGCCAAAGGTCAAGTCATAGGTCACAGTGACCTAATTCTTGCACTCTGCACTCTGCCATCCCAAGATGTCCTTGTACACCAAATCTGGTTACTGCAGGTGAAATAGTACAGAAAATATGCTTCTGACAAACTTTTTTCAAAGGTTAAGGTCAAAGGTCAAATCATAGGTCACAGTGAGGTCATAGTGACCTTTGTCTTGCACTCTGCCATCCCAAGATGTCCTTGTACACCAAATTTGGTTACTCAAGGTGAAATAGTACAGAAGATATTCACTGGAAAAAAGGACGGAAGGACAGACGGACGGACGGAGTGCAAACTTATAGTCCCCCCGGGAATATTGGAACACAAAAATATGCCTCATATGAAATACATGTGTTCTAGACCGATCCAATGTAACAAGAAAATTTCACACATTGCAATTTCTGGATCGCAATGTATTTCTCACAAGCTTCTACTCATAAGCAGAAAACAAAAGCTGTTTTAAAATTTTCTATTTTTTAAAATTCTTTATCGTCTACAACGTAAAACGTTTGTTTGCTTCATGACAAAGGTGATAGATTTATTTTGAAATGTTCATAGCTTGCACGCTTTAAGAATTACCAAAGGTAAATATACATATAACTGATATTAAATGATGTATATTTCATAAGCTCATATCACCAAGAAAACCTAATAAACACAAGGAGAATGGAAAAAAATGTTATTCTAAAAAGGGAATCAGGTATATTATAATGAATCAAGGAGAAAGGATGAAAAACTAAATCTGGCAAAAATGGCAACCGCTATATGACAAAAAAAGGAATATACTGTTGACATTCCATATACCTGTTTCTGTTTCTGTAAATAAGAATAACAATGGTAGGATGAAATGAAATGAGAATAATCTGTCAGAATGAAATATATATTAAGGTAGAGAGTCACTTTTTTAACAAAATCCACTTCACCATGGGGATTCAATCTCCATGCCTTTTAATCATAAAGCAGGGAGCTTAACCCCTGTGTGCTAGGGGTCATGATATTTATAAACGGTATCTAAATACTTTTCTGCAACAGAACTGGAATAATTTCAGAATGTTCTAATTCCCTAAACAGGCCTGCAGCACATAATTGTTCAGTATAAATATAGAGGAAAGATAACAGGAATATAACTGTTCAAGGCCTGTATACAGGACAGAAGTGGTGGGACTCCCTACCTTGAATTACAATGTAAAGCAGCAAACACTTAGGACGCAGTGACCCTCTGAGTTATGATATCTGAGTTAGTGTACTGAGGAACTAGGACACAGTGACCCTCTGAGTTATGATATCTGAGTTAGTGTACTGAGTAACTGCGTTTGGTCAGATACTTTGGTTCCATAAACCCTTGTCAATAATCGATATATTTGCAGCAACAATACTTTAATGATTTGGGCAGATATCACAACTAACTTTGTTTCAAAATTTTGAGGTTATGGACAAATCCAACTGATTTTACATTTCTCACCCCAGTCCCTTATCATCTCTGAGTTGTCCCAGGCATAAAGACAGATTTCTCACCCCAGTCCCTTATCGTCTCTGAGTTGTCCCAGGCTTAAAGACACATTTCTCACCCCAGTCCCTTATCGTCTCTGAGTTGTCCCAGGCATAAAGCCACATTTCTCACCCCAGTCCCTTATCGTCTCTGAGTTGTCCCAGCCATAAAGACACATTTCTCACCCAAGTCCCTTATCATCTCTAAGTTGTCCCAGGCATAAAGCCACATTTCTCACCCCAGTCCCTTATCGTCTCTGAGTTGTCCCAGGCATAAAGACACATTTCTGAACTTTACAACTAACAAAAATATGTTTACAACATCTACTATAAGGTACATGAAAAATGACATATCAATTAGATTTTTATCAGTTGTATTCAAACAAATATTTTCATAATCAATTTAAATCAAACTTTTCTTGATTTTGTTGTTGAACAACTTGGTAATTAGAGTAAAAAGATCAATCTGTGGAATATCCACTATCTCAATAACTATGACACCAAATTAAGAGGGATACACTGCAAATGTCCAAACACATATGTTTCCCACTGATAAACCCCACAACAAGGTTCCACATCAGACATTGTATATAATTTTCCCACTGATAAACCCCACAACAAGGTTCCACATAAGACATTGTTTATATTTTTTAAGGATTTGGTTTTCACCAATATTTTTACATTATTGAAAAAAATAAACGCATGAAAAATATCTGTAAACATGAAATATAAAGACAAACAATTTTGTGATCAGTAATAAAGATCAAACTTATTTTACCTTGTAAAGCTTTTCCCTTAGATCCAATTAGACCTTTAGCCTTTGGCTTGGGTTCTTCAGGTGGGGGCTGTAACAAAACCACAGAGTTTGTAACCCATACATTTTTGAATTTCTAATAAATAGACAATAATCAAGCAATGCAAGACAAGATTCTATACTTGCCAACGTTTTGAAATTTCCATAGTGAGATTCTACATGCTCAAAATAAATTAAAAACATACATGAAATGTCTATATATACTCCCTAAAGACAAAAACCCCTTAAATGACATACAACGCAATGATATAGCCCCATTTATAAATATTGTTTGTAACTAGGTACCTCCTGTTCCTCGGGATCGAGTCGTCCTGTTTTGTGGGTTTTAGCTCCATATTTGATCATACATTTGATGTCCTTTTGGTCCAGTCCCGTTGGTGTAAACACTCGCATGTACAGGAAGTTGTCATACTGCGGCTCATGAGTCCACGTCGACACTTCCTTTGTAGGCTCAACCTTTTTTTCGTCAGCAAACCTTACTTTCTGTAATACAATAATATAAATATGAAAAAGAGGTCATAAAACGAATCGCCAATAATGCAGGTTCATAAAGCTAATGTTTCATAAGAAATGGACGTCATCTTACTGCATGATTTACCTATGTAAAATGACACAATTTGTTACAAAATGAAGTTAAGTTTAGACTGTTGGCACTCACTATAAGAGTTATCTACAACAGAAGGTGACCTGTTAAGACTGTTGGCACTCACTATAAGAGTTATCTACAACAGAAGGAGACCTGTTAAGACTGTTGGCACTCACTATAAGAGTTATCTACAACAGAAGGAGACCTGTTAAGACTGTTGGCACTCACTATAAGAGTTATCTACAACAGAAGGTGACCTGTTAAGACTGTTGGCACTCACTATAAGAGTTATCTACAACAGAAGGGGAGCTGTAAAGTCCTTTGGTACCTTCTTCTGAGTGAAACCTACCTTGGGTGTTCCAACACGACTGCTTGGGTCCTCGGTTTCTTCTTTGCCGTCTTCCTCTTGGTTTTCTGCACTCTCTTCCCCACCTTCCTCTGTATCAGCCTTCTCACTCTCCTCCTCAACCCCTCCTTCCTCATTCTCCTCCTCTTCTAAATCCTGGAGACACAATATTACATGACTACAGACTCCTGGAGACACAATATTACACGACTACAGAATCCTGGAGACACAATATTACATGACTACAGGCTCCTGGAGAGACAATATTACATGACTACAGACTCCTGGAGACACAATATTACATGACTACAGACCCCTGGAGACACAATATTACACGACTACAGAATCCCGGAGACACAATATTACATGACTACAGGCTCCTGGAGAGACAATATTACATGACCACAGACTCCTGGAGACACAATATTACATGACTACAGGATCCTGAAGACACAATATTACATGACTACAGAATCCTGGACACACAATATTACATGACTACAGAATCCTGGAGAGACAATAGGACAGGGCTACAGACTCCTGGAGACACAATATTACATGACTACAGGATCCTGAAGACACAATATTACATGACTACAGAATCCTGGAGAGCCAATATTACATGACTACAGACTCCTGGAGACACAATATTACATGCCTACAGACTCCTGGAGACACAATATTACACGACTACAGAATCCTGGAGACACAATATTTCATGACTACAGGCTCCTGGAGAGACAATATTACATGACCACAGACTCCTGGAGACACAATATTACATGACTACAGAGCCCTGGGGAGACAATATTACATGACTACAGACTCCTGGAGACCCAATATTACATGACTACAGACGCCTGGAGACACAATATTACATGACTACAGAATCCTGGACACACAATATTACATGACTACAGAATCCTGGAGAGACAATATTATATGACTACAGACTCCTGGAGACACAATATTACATGACTACAGACCCCTGGAGACACAATATTACACGACTACAGAATCCTGGAGACACAATATTTCATGACTACAGGCTCCTGGAGAGACAATATTACATGACCACAGACTCCTGGAGACACAATATTACATGACTACAGACTACTGGAGACACAATATTACATGACTACAGACGCCTGGAGATTCACAATATTACATGACTACAGACTCCTAGAGACACAATATTACATGACTACAGAATCCTGGAGAGACAATAGGACAGGGCTACAGACTCCTGGAGACACAATATTACATGACTACAGACCCCTGGAGACACAATATTACACGACTACAGAATCCCGGAGACACAATATTACATGACTACAGGCTCCTGGAGAGACAATATTACATGACCACAGACTCCTGGAGACACAATATTACATGACTACAGGATCTTGGAGACACAATATTACATGACTACAAAATCCTGGAGACACAATATTACATGACTACAGAAACATGGAGACACAATATTACATGACTACAGAATCCTGGACACACAATATTACATGACTACAGAATCCTGGAGAGACAATACTACATGACTACAGACTCCTGGAGACACAATATTACATGCCTACAGACTCCTGGAGACACAATATTACACGACTACAGAATCCCGGAGACACAATATTACATGACTACAGGCTCCTGGAGAGACAATATTACATGACTACAGACTCCTGGGGACACAATATTACATGACTACAGAATCCTGGAGAGACAATATTACATGGCTACAGACTCCTGGAGACACAATATTACATGACTACAGACTCCTGGAGATTCAATATTACATGACTACAGACTCCTGGAGACACAATATTACATGACTACAGAATCCTGGAGACACAATATTACATGACTACAGAATCCTGGAGACACAATATTACATGACTACAGACTCCTGGAGACACAATATTACATGACTACAGAATCCTGGAGACACAATATTACATGACTACAGACTCCTGGAGACACAATATTACATGACTACAGAATCCTGGAGACACAATATTACATGACTACAGACTCCTGGAGACACAATATTACATGACTACAGAATCCTGGAGACACAATATTACATGACTACAGACTCCTGGAGACACAATATTACATGACTACAGACTCCTGGAGACACAATATTACATGACTACAGAATCCTGGAGACACAATATTACATGACTACAGACTCCTGGAGACACAATATTACATGACTACAGAATCCTGGAGACACAATATTACATGACTACAGACTCCTGGAGACACAATATTACATGACTACAGAATCCTGGAGACACAATATTACATGACTACAGAATCCTGGAGACACAATATTACATGACTACAGAATCCTGGAGACACAATATTACATGACTACAGAATCCTGGAGACACAATATTACATGACTACAGAATCCTGGAGACACAATATTACATGACTACAGAATCCTGGAGACACAATATTACATGACTACAGAATCCTGGAGACACAATATTACATGACTACAGAATCCTGGAGACACAATATTACATGACTACAGAATCCTGGAGACACAATATTACATGACTACAGAATCCTGGAGACACAATATTACATGACTACAGAATCCTGGAGACACAATATTACATGACTACAGAATCCTGGAGACACAATATTACATGACTACAGAATCCTGGAGACACAATATTACATGACTACAGAATCCTGGAGACACAATATTACATGACTACAGAATCCTGGAGACACAATATTACATGACTACAGAATCCTGGAGACACAATATTACATGACTACAGAATCCTGGAGACACAATATTACATGACTACAGAATCCTGGAGACACAATATTACATGACTACAGAATCCTGGAGACACAATATTACATGACTACAGAATCCTGGAGACACAATATTACATGACTACAGAATCCTGGAGACACAATATTACATGACTACAGAATCCTGGAGACACAATATTACATGACTACAGAATCCTGGAGACACAATATTACATGACTACAGAATCCTGGAGACACAATATTACATGACTACAGAATCCTGGAGACACAATATTACATGACTACAGAATCCTGGAGACACAATATTACATGACTACAGAATCCTGGAGACACAATATTACATGACTACAGAATCCTGGAGACACAATATTACATGACTACAGAATCCTGGAGACACAATATTACATGACTACAGAATCCTGGAGACACAATATTACATGACTACAGAATCCTGGAGACACAATATTACATGACTACAGAATCCTGGAGACACAATATTACATGACTACAGAATCCTGGAGACACAATATTACATGACTACAGAATCCTGGAGACACAATATTACATGACTACAGAATCCTGGAGACACAATATTACATGACTACAGAATCCTGGAGACACAATATTACATGACTACAGAATCCTGGAGACACAATATTACATGACTACAGAATCCTGGAGACACAATATTACATGACTACAGAATCCTGGAGACACAATATTACATGACTACAGAATCCTGGAGACACAATATTACATGACTACAGAATCCTGGAGACACAATATTACATGACTACAGAATCCTGGAGACACAATATTACATGACTACAGAATCCTGGAGACACAATATTACATGACTACAGAATCCTGGAGACACAATATTACATGACTACAGAATCCTGGAGACACAATATTACATGACTACAGAATCCTGGAGACACAATATTACATGACTACAGAATCCTGGAGACACAATATTACATGACTACAGAATCCTGGAGACACAATATTACATGACTACAGAATCCTGGAGACACAATATTACATGACTACAGAATCCTGGAGACACAATATTACATGACTACAGAATCCTGGAGACACAATATTACATGACTACAGAATCCTGGAGACACAATATTACATGACTACAGAATCCTGGAGACACAATATTACATGACTACAGAATCCTGGAGACACAATATTACATGACTACAGAATCCTGGAGACACAATATTACATGACTACAGAATCCTGGAGACACAATATTACATGACTACAGAATCCTGGAGACACAATATTACATGACTACAGACTCCTGGAGACACAATATTACATGACTACAGACTCCTGGAGACACAATATTACATGACTACAGACTCTTGGAGACACAATATTACATGACTACAGACTCCTGTATAGCACAGTGCTGTAGATAGTACTGATACATTGTTAGATCTCAGTATGCTCATATGTAATGACCATTTATCAAATCAAATCAAAGTCAGGTGTGAAAGATTTATTCCATTACTAAATTTTCAGATTTGTTTGTTAAATATATTAAATATATTTTATGAAATCATATAGAATATCAATTCTCCATAATCATTATTTATCAAAAAAGGGCCCTTCTGTGTGTCTGACTGTATATATCCCCATGCATGCCAAGCAGAAGCCACAGTGATAATTTTAGATTTCAGAATATTGGTAAAAAGGCATTACACATGCATGTTATCCCACAAATACCAGTTACTAACAAGTATGAGCAAAATTATGTGGGCCCTAATTACAACAAACTGATTATTCTGTATCAATAAAATTGTTGTATACAGATGCTTCTGCTAAACAATCTACATACTTCTGTATCAATGTCATTTGAGCAGCTTGGTACACTACGTTGATAAAGCTGTAAAGACTATGTATACATACTGAAAGTTTGTCGCTATCACCCCCATCATCCTGTCTGTTCAACTTTATAGGAATTTCGTCATCGTCTTCGCCTTCCTCCTCAGAACTCTCCTCTAATGCTTTCGAGTATTCTTGTACATGTTCAAGTCTGTCAAGTATGAGAGCAGTAAGTAAGTATAATGTAACATGCACCAGTAGAATAAAAAAACACAACACTAAACTATATCCCATGACATATATTTCCACTAGTATGAACAATCAATCTGAAACCTGTCTATTCCGAAATGTTGGTCAGTGGTCTTCTGTTTAGACAGATTTTCCTGTATTTATAAAAAAACATCGATTTTTTGTCAATTATTGTTCCTCTCATCCCTGTAATTTATGAAAGAGACAGTGGTCTTTAAAAATTTGACCAGTTTTTGATAAAAATAAGGGAAAATTTCCGTCAATGCTGCCATCAGCTCCTAGAGAAGTTTCCAGTGTACCAACCCGAGCTGAGCCTTCTGTTTGATGGTCTCTATGAGGAACTTCCACCTTCTCCCGTGTCCCTTGTTACTCATAATTTTGGCAAATAATTTCTCCCAGTTCATAATTCTCTTCTCTCTGGCAATTCTTTTAGACTGAAAGAAAACAAAGAATATATATTGTAACAAAAGTTGTCGAAATTAATTTTGTCCCACAAAACAGCTAGTAATCATTTCTCAAAAAATATTTCTCAGGTCAGACCTGATACTTTTCATATGGAAAATGATATGGTTACCAATATACATTTTCAGCTACCAGAATTGTTTTTACATTATATTTTCATTAGCTGCAGTTTATAAATTCAAATAAATCAATCTTACATGTGCGTCCACAAGTTGTAGGCGTTTGATTGCAATGTTGAGTTGTCGCTGTTTGCTCTCGTAGTCCTCATGGAGTTTTTTGAGGGCAGTACTTTTTTCCTCCCAAGGAGTAGAGTACACATGTACTAATCTCACTAGTTCATTGACCGGCATGTTCAGATCACTTATACTGTACAGAGAAATGTCAACATCGATATATATAACAAAATTAATCCAAATTATATCAAATCAATTTGGAGTTATTAAGTTATTTATTATCTTTAGTGATTGAGTCAATGTTCAAATATAACCTACAAGATTCAGTAAATGAGCTATAATTATTAGGAACTAAATAACAAAATGTTATTCCTCGAATGACACACAACTAAATAAAGATGGTGTGAACTCACATCCTCTGACATTATTTCACACTGTAATACGTAATTAAGTGATAAGCTGGAAGTGATTTACATCAGTAACAGGAGATATATGTTGTATATACTGACCTCCTGAACACCTTCCCTGTAATGGTGGCCAGTTTGATCAGCAGTGTTGGAGGTAAAGCATGTTTCAGCATCTCATCCTTCATGTCCAGCAGCTGGAGCCAACAATTTAATCAATTAAATGTATTGCTAATGTTCCTATAATATTACTAGCATATCTATGTAAAATTTTATTGTCATCATAAAGGAATAATATTTGTCTTCTTATCAAATTGAGACTTTAAAGAATATGGACCACAAAAGCTTGGATTTTATGTAACGTAAAAAATCACCATATACATATGTTTAAGTTATTGCTTTGTTGTGAGGTTCATAGCAATGTCCTCTTAAATTCCAGAATCTCACATTTTTGCTCATCAAAACAAATTTTAAACTTTGTGTATAAGATTTAAAGGGAGTAAACACAATGTTAGCAATTTCAGTAACATCAAGAATAGATCCAAATTGGTCAGAGGTCAGAACATAAGATGCTGATATGGGACCCCTTTGCCACCTGCTTCTGTTTGTAAAAAAACCTGCATCGTTTTGAAATTGTCATGTGACGTTATCCGCGCAATATTTATTGGGGCTTTACCATACAAATCGAGTGGTCAACCTGGACATTTGGAATTGACTATGAATATGGGGATAGCAAGGAATATAACAGGCAGTGCAGACAACACATACAATCAATAAATGAAATATTCTTTTTCATGATATGTCCCTTTAAACAAACTACAACTAATATACAAATCTTATAATGGGGTTTGTTAACTTTTATTGTAAACATGTCAATATTTCTGCAAATTATTTTTACCTCTCTGATGGAGCCGTGTACAAGTGCCATAGAGTTGAGAACACCATCACAGAGGTTGTCAAACTTGTTAGGTTCACGTCTAGCAGAGGGATCTGGTTCCTCATCTCCCGAACTGTCCGAATCATCTGAACTGTCCTGTAATACAGCAGAAACAAATTTCATATCTTTTAAATCCTTTTTTAATTCCAAAATCTACTGTCCTTGAAATAAAAAGAGTTTCTTAAATTTTATGTAATGGTAAAAAAAATATTGATGAGTTTTCACATTGCTTTTTATCACTGAGTCAGTTAAGTGCTTAATACAGCACCACAGCTTATATGTTTCCATGTGCAGGGTCATGTTTATCTTTTGGTTGATAGTTAAATGTGTCTTACTCGTTTTGTATTTTCCACTTCCTCTTCATCTTCCTCCTCAGCTAAAGCCTCTAGGTTTAATCTCCCTATTAAAACAAAATAACCTCGGTGCTTCAGGTACATATAATGAGTTTACAGTTGTTTTAAATCAGCCTGGACTGGAAATGAATATGGATACTCCGTACCAGTGCATTAGTTGTAGGGCTGTAATGACAGTTGTACATTATAACAAAATAAATCATATAATCAATATATTGCAATCTCAGCTTATTTTCTTTTTCCTTGTCAATACTTTTACATGTCTTCCTTGATATATTGCCAAATCCCCTTTATAATGCCAAATATGGCTGGAAAAGTTGGCAGCACAACCTACTTACTATATCAATATTTTACAATGATAATAAACCATGAATCTGTTCATTTGATCAGTCTTAAACAATATCAATGACTTTCATTAGGTATTTCAAGCATTCTCCGTTGCTTTATTTAACTATCACCATGATTTTCAAACATAATTTGAAAACAGAACAATAATCTTACAAGGATGACGCTGCCCATCCTTAGTATGAGAATACCATTTAATCTGGCAATAAGACTATGCCTGGCAATAAGCCATCCATATATCTTACAGGTCTACAAATCTACTATTTCACTGTCCTGTAATAAGCCTATCTCATACTCCAGTGGTGTACAATTTCATCTTTAGAATTATAGCCTAAAACCTAATTTGAAATAAACCTACAAGCTGGAACATTATTTTCATTATTCATATTGAAAATGTTCTCTATCCCTGACATTGATCCAATGGAACTCTGCCACTGGTACATTGAGTCAAATATACTGTTGGCTTCTTTGGCCGAAAATCTGATAACAGTATGAATATACAGGTACAATTATAAACTGGTACAACAATACACAGGTACAAAGCATATGTTTAAATCTGAGCAATGAATTGCACTTTTTTTTAAGTACAACATTATATTGATATGATTGTTTATAGTGTCATGCAATATGGCTGACTTGGCTAGCTAGACAGATTGTTGGAACAGTGGACATAAATAGCCAGTGCAACAGTACTATCCCAATATATCCTGATATTGCCAAATATTTCGAACTGTTTAGTCTTCTCATATGATAAAGGAGTGATTTATGAGCTATTTGCATGCAACTCATTTGCTATTCCTGTATTTGTGTGCGATTTTTTTTAATTTACATGTGAACATTGAAACACTAAAACGTAAAAATATCATTTCTTACACTGGGTATGTTTGCAAGCATGCAACTAGACAAGTTTATATGACAGTAGACGGTTGCACGATTCTAGCCTTCCCTGTCCGTTCTCTCTGTGATTTTTTATGCGACTAAACTGTGCATCTTTCCATGGACGTTTTGAACTGCTTAATAAATATTTATGTATTCTGAGACCTCAAAACAATAACCATACAGACTACCATTTCGCTTTATCAATTATTAATGAAGGAACGACATTAGCACAAAGTCACATTGCGGAGATGAAAGACGTCATCAATAATTGATACGGCTACCAATCAATTAATTATAAACAGTAAACGGGCACCTGCTACACACAACACTGGTGTTATGTAGTTTTATACGCTCAGTTAATCAATATTTTGCTTCTGTCTAAGTTTGTACCTCTATCCATGATTGGAAATCACTGTATAATCCAAATTACGGTCCCTGTCCGACAATATCGTGACATGTATGTCCTGTTATCGTGCCAGTCAAAACTTTAAATCACGGCCGCCATATTGTTTATACAGCGGTTGCTACGCATTGGCGAGAATCAATTTGAATGCGACTGTATTCGTCAGGCCAAATGGGGATCGACTCGTAGCAGGGACAGTTAAAAACATTTTTTATATAAAAAAAATTCCTGCATCCATTAAAATCCGTTTAAAAAAGTTAAGATGCAATAAGTATTTTAATGGAATTACAAAAAAAGGCTGTGTGGTAGGATTACCGCTTCTATAATTAATTAAGCGCCTTCCTTCTGGTCAATCTATCAAAGCACGTCTATAATTCCGTGGTCTAAGGTATCGTGAATATATACTTTTTTGCAGGGATGTCTTACTACCTATAACGCGGGTATATTTGAAATAAAACAGGAATGGACCAACCTAATTACAGCGAAAACAACCACAAGCTGAATCTACNCCCCCCCAGATAGGTCTCTGGATCCGCCACTGCTCTAGCTCTATATATAAAGTGTCCACACTTAATTAATGTTATTATCATGAACTTTACAGTACGCATATTGCATCACCTGATATCAATCAATCAACATGTATAAATACTATTTTTATATGCACAAAATTGTAATAGGTAACAGTATAGGCATAAATTATTTTTTGGATATAACGTTAGTGCAGGCAAATTCGCCTTGCACCCATATATTCGTCACCCTAGCTGTGACAAAAATGCAATACGATGTCATAATAATAAGATGTGACGTAAATAACGTCACCATAGTCTTCAACACAGTTAAAACCTTCAAATATGTTGATAAGAAGTATAAGAAGGGAAAAGTTATATTATTAATTCAAACAGCTATGAAATATCATGTAACATAACGAAACTTAAAAATTTGGTCTGTACGACCACGGAATTATATTAGAAATCCCTGTTATCTAAGTCCGTGGTACGACGCATATCTCGTCAACTATATTCATTAATATAATGCCTGTTGGTTTTGATTCAGTGTAAATGCATTACATACAAATTGAAAATACCCATATATCTCAACGCTAATTGCAATTGTATGGTCGACCCAGAGCCGTCAATGCAAGTAATTGTTTTTCTAAAAGTGTACTTTGGTACGTGTACAATGTACTGACGACTCAATGCTTGTTTATGGAAACGACGCTCTGAGAGATTTGATTACTCATTTTCCATTTTCATGCAATGTGTATTCAGAAAACAATCAACCAGTAGACTCTATCTTTTTAAAAGTATCGTTTGCGTCTTACATTCAGTCATCTTACAACACTTAAATCAAAATACCACCTAGAAGTTTTCTAGATTTATATAAATACCTGAAAAGAATTTGTTGTCGACCTGAAAGTACTTGCCATTTTGATACATGTGTTTTTGGTCGAATTATTAACTGAAACCCTTACTTATGTGACGAATTATTTTATTACTCATTTTCCATTTTCATGCAATGTGTATTCAGAAAACAATCAACCAGTAGACTCTATCTTTTTAAAAGTATCGTTTGCGTCTTACATTCAGCCATCTTACAACACTTAAATCAAAATACCGCCTAGAAATTTTCTAGATTTATATAAATACCTGAAAAGAATTTGTTGTCGGCCTGAAAGTACTTGCCATTTTGATACATGTGTTTTTGGTCGAATTATTAACTGAAACCCTTACTTATGTGACGAATTTGCCTTTACTAACATTATGTCGCAATTCAATATGTTTAGATTGACATTGGATACCAAAAATTTGATTTTTTTTTTAGATGGTACGCAAAAGTGTTGTTTGCTTATGGAAAGTCTCATTTTGACGAGCAATATTTCTGCACCAAATGAAAAATTATTTTATTAGTATGTGACGCTATTACCGCGCCAAATGAGTGTTCGTATGTAGTGGAAACAGTTGAATGGTGTTCCTCACTACCCGTGATAGCTTGTAGAAGATGTAGATACCGTTGACTACTCTAATATAATTAATTGTGTAGACTGGTACTGTAGTCCTACCTACAAGATGTTGTCTGCTGCGTTTAGGAATTCAGATTTGGTAACCATAGTTTATACTGTGGTTTGATATCGTATGTTTTACTTTCATGATATGTGATAAAACGCACAATAACATTGATTTTAACGCCCTTGACAGTTCTAGGGACATACGTTCGTGACCGATACGTCATTTGCTATCTAAATGGCTGCAGACGGTACTAAATATTTAGACGTTGCAACCGGAATATTTTGAAAATTGGCTTAACAAAAATGTCCCTATCCACTGTACACGAATCAAAGAGGGACTTGAGAATCGCTACATGATGCATATTAGAGGTTCTCCTGGTGTGCAGGGTTGCATAATTAGACGTTTTAGGGGCGCTCGGTGGGAAATGGCACCTCAAATGACGTACTATCACGGCCGATTGACAACGGTAAGCTGCCACCCCAATGCTCTCGTATATTTATAAGCATTGGGAGTGGCAGTTTTACCGAAAGTCTAAAACATGTAAAATTACCCCAACACCTTAGTTTAGGTCCAATATAATTAAAATTATATCTTCACATCGCTCCCGTTTACGCGACATATCAGTAAACGGGAGCGATGTGAAGATATAATTTTAATTAGATTGGTTTAGGTCCAAATATAGCTGTAAAAAAAGCTCAGGTCCATGTGATTCCATTATCAAAGGACGACTCTTACCACCAAGCATTGTTCATTGGTCTGTGTAATGAATGTTTCAGAAGTGGAACACAGCAGGAAACAATAGTGGTTGTGCCCGTGCTTTTATTCCGTACACTTACATGCAATATTTTTGAATTGTCTAAAGTTTCGTTGTCCCGTCAAGACATTGAGCCAGTGAACATCAAGGAATCCCAGCCCCAGAGGACACCAAGACACTACTGTTTGTTTTCATCAACTACGCTACTCTGTTGAAGCCACTGTTGGATTTGTGTATCAGTCTTGGTGCAACCATCCTTTCCGACTTGAAGCAAGTCAAGAACTCTACATTCAACAACTGCGACAGTTGTCGATTGGTGTGTGGAATGACAGGCCGAAATAATAATGGGAAAACCAACTAGCTACAGGATAATATTGAAGACAAGATGTAGAATCCCGAATTGGGATCTGCCCGAGCTCTTATGAACCTGTCACAAACACAGCTTAAAACTATGAACCATTTCCTACCTTCTTCAAACTATTGCCTCTGAGATGGACATTGCTGAGATGACGAATTCATGGATTGTGCACAACTACTACAGACATCTGAAATTCAGATCACTTTCACTGATAAGTTGATAAGGCGTTTTCAACAAACAACTCCTCAACGGCGGCATCAACAATTAAATGATCAGTGTACATATGGACAGAGAGGAAGTTGTCAAAACATTTCTTGGTTTCGTCATTGAAGCAGGCGACAAATTACCTATCTGTAAACGTTTTTATTCTGTTTTGTACTCTTCAAGTGCGTCCTTGTAAATCTTTCCCCTCTTCATATTTTGCCTTAATTTCATCGATTTTTAGTTTGCTATACTGTTACGTTCACTCTTCGGTTTTTTTTCTAAGCAAAAAGGACCCGAAGGATTGCTAGGTCAACGATTAAAGTTTATGTGAATGCAATCAGTAGTTGTAAAATGCCGATGCTCAGCCCGCAAATTTTGTGAGGCTCATTTTTCTGTGAGTCTCATTTTGTATATATCCTTATATGTTTCTGTGAGGTATATTTTTGTGAGACATCTTTCTGTGAGGTACATTTGTTGTGAGGTTTGTATATAACAATAAGTACATTTCAAGGTCACATTTAGGTCATATTGAGGTCACAGTACATGCTCTATAAAAAGTGTTGGTTGACCTGAGGTTTCAGTTGTATTCCATGGCACAGAAACAGATCGATCTCGTCAACTGTGGAAACATCGATGTCTGCGAAATCTCTGCTAGCAGTATTACCTGTCGCATAGGGTTAACGCAGTAAGTCGTCGTTAAGAAGGTCAAAGGTGAGGTGAAAGTTTGTTTACGTGAGGAAAAAAAGAGTTTACAAATCATAGGTGACTTCTTCAAAAAAATGCTGTTTCAAACGGAGAGCCTACAGTGCGTTTATTCATTTATGGAAAATGGCATGTGAAACTGACAGTGTTTGCCACACCGTAAACGTAATACAACCCCTTCATCCATCGTTGATCAAGTGTAACAAGCGCTTAGATACATTAACTTACTGGCCAAAACACCGTTATCATTCACCATATCAACTAGCAAATAACGGATTTTTCTATACAGACAATGAAGACTGTGTTACTTGTTTCATGTGTGGTGTTTCGTTAAAGCATTAGACCTTTTTTGACGATATCAAAGCGGAGCACGCAAGGTGGTCAAAAGATTGCCTTTATCTTCAAATGGTGTTTTGAGTTTAAACACATGTCTTTAGACAACTAAGAAATGGACGTTAACTAAGAAAATACTGCATGACTATTAATTCGAGGAAATCGAAAAGGCCTATAGAAGAATATTAAAAAATCTGATGTCTTTCTTAGGCGTATGCAGTAAGATCTAAGATAACTGAACTTTTTGTATGTACGGGATGTGAAGAAGGACTAGCCAATCAACTAGGACATCGTTGTGTGATGCTTCCCTATGACGATGTGGTGGATTTACATTTTGATAAAGCATTGATCTTAACAAACCATTTTAAGTGGAAAAGACTTGGTGTGAATCCGCCCTACAATCGTGTATTCCTTCTGGATCGCTAAACTATCTCATGCAAGATCAACGACTGCGTAATGGTTCTTACGTTATCGAAAACTATAGTATAAAAATAAAGAAATATGTCAAGAAGATAGGTGTTGACGAAACTCGATTGTTTACATAAAGATGGACAGTGTTACCAATTACCCAGCTCATAGACACATGTCAAGTCATACAGATCGGTTAGTGACGTTCTTACAGTGGCCTTGTAGACTTTGTCCATATTAGCTGGCTCGTGACGGATTTTTCTACGAAGGTTTAAGGGAATATATTACATGTTACAAGAGTGGTAAAACTTTAAATTATTTGGAATTCAAACACTTTT